ATCCTGGAACTCACTCTGTAGACCAGGCTGGCCTCGAACTCACAGAGATCCACCTGCCTCTGCCTCCTGAGTGCTGGGATTAAAGGTGTGCGCCACCACACCCAGCATAGGCAAAACTTTCATGCACATAAAATAAAAAAAAATCTAAAAAAAAAAAAGATTCCTTTTGCTTGATACTTTTAGGAAAGGGACAGGCTTGTCTGTATCTGCCAGCCTTCATAAAAATAAAGGTAGAGCAAATGCTGTTTTCAAAACTTGACTCTTCTGCTCCCAGTGTTATCTAGCTGTATCAGGACCCAACTGAAAGCAGACACGCAGCCATCAATAATGTAAGAAAAAGCAGCATGGTTCTGTAGGAGATCCCTCAATTTGGAGAAGCCTAACGGTGCATGCCTATAATTCCAGGCATACACTTGAAGACTCTAGGCCAGCATACCAATGACAATTCTATATCCCTGTCTATTGACACACTCGTTCTGAAAACCAAGAACAGAAAAAGCCTGTGTTCATCAACAAAAGGATTTTAAAAAATGTGTATTTTTCTTTTTATGTTTATGGGTATTTAGCGTGCATGTATGTTTGTGTACATGTCAGTAGACTGCAGAAACCAGATGTGCTGGAACTGAAGTTGTAGACAGTTGTGAGATGCCATGTAGGTCTTGGGAATTGAATCTGGGTCCTGTCATGGAAGCCAGTGAGTGCTCTTAACCTCTAAACCTTTCTCCAGCCTTTTACCGTAGTTTGGTTAAGGTATAGATAATGCATTTTTGAGGTATAAAGAAAGCAATTACATCCAGGCATGTAGTACATGCTTTTAATCCTTGCCTTGAACACAGGCAGACACAGGGAGATCTCTGTGGATATGAGGCCAGCCTGGTCTACATGATGAGTTCCAGGACAGCCAGGACTACATACTGAGACCCTGTTTCAAAACAAACAAAAAAATCCCACTACATTCGTTCCTAGAGAAATGGACAGACTTGGGCAACACTGAACTGGCCAATCTTGTGTCTTCCTTCCCTGGCTGTTGGTTTGGCTTGTTTACACGGAGTGTCTGTGCCCGCGTGTACAGTGTGCACATCGGTGTGTACGGCTGAGAGCAGAGGAAGGTTCACACAAGAGTTGGTTCTCCCCCTTCCAGCCTGTGGATTCCAGGGATCTAAGGAGGGTCAGACCAGGCAGCAGGGTCATTTCCACACTGGGCCATCTCACTAGTACTGTGGGTTTGGGTGACAGGGTCTCACTATGTAGCCTTGGCTGGCTTCAAACTCCATGTATCCACTCACGATGAGCACCATGTCATGTGCTGAGTGCTTTACTTGTTTGTTTTAAAGACAAAGCCTGTCCAGCTCTGGTGGGCCTTGAACTTTTCTTGATTTCCCCCATTCAGCCTCAAGTGTTGGCAACATAGTAGATTTAAGGCCAGCTTGGGTTACATGAGACTTTGTCTCACATACCAAAAAAATGTATATTGACGCCACTAGGTGAAAGCAAGACAGAGATTGGACCACTAAAGGTAAAGTTAGTGCTTTATTTTACTTAATCTAGTCAAACAGGCATTGCATTATTGTGGTACAGTAACTATAAACCTCTCCCTACAGATATTAACATAGCAGTACTCATAGTGAAACTCCAAAGAGAGGGAGGACATCAACAAGGCACACTGAACAGGTAAAGACTCCTAACTGCCAAAACAGAAGTCCTCCTTCAACCAAAGCTTTCCTTTTATTTTGTTGAGACATCATCTTATTATTTACATATAGTCCAGGCTAGTCTTGAACTTACTGTGTATCGGGGCTAGCCTCAAACTCGTGATCCTTTTGCCACATCCGCTAGAGTGGCCTCCACATCTGAATGAATCTTTATACTCTTCACACGTTTAGATTCTGCATCCTAAAGATACCCCAAAATACTGGATCCTTAGCTAGTGCCACCATGTCCGTTTCTGTAGCAGGCAACTTATTCAACCCTCCTTCTTCAGACTCCAGATAAACCCC